AAATAATAAAAGGAGAAAAGAATAAGTAGAGAAAGATAATTCAGCTCCCATGTACAAACACCCCAAACAATCATTGAATGTCTAATTCTTTGCAGCTCTGTTGATGAAAAGATTTTGATGAAAGCTCCAGAAAAAATGCAATACAAACATACACATAAAACCCTACTCCATCATGAAACTCATGCATGGATTCTCCAGGGCTCTGAGGTACAGATATCTCTTTCTTTAGGCTATTTAGGTATGTTGCAGTTCCACCTTGTACAGTAAGTTCCTCAAGGATAAAGGCTGGGTCTTCCAATTTCTTAAGTCTCCCCATGTCCACAGCACCTAGCAAACACTGTCACCTGGCCCCACCTCTCTGCCTTCAGCCTTTCACAACATCCATGCTTTACAGACGGGTCTCTGCAACATCTTAACACACAACATCTCCAAAAGTCAAGAGGCTTCTAGGAATCTATCATAAAGAAATAATCTAAAATGCAGGCACAGCTTCTTGCCCAAAGATGTTTCTCACTGCATTATTTATTAAAGTGAAAATCTGGGAACAACACAAATGCCCAACAATGGAAGAACGGGCAAGTAAACTATAGTCCATCCATACAATAGAATATTGTACAGCCACAGAAAATGATACTCATAAAGACTTTTCAATGGCAAGCACGATCATTATGATGTAATGTTAGACGAAAAGGGCTCTATTCATAGACGTACTATGATCTCAACTCTCTCTTTAAGAAGACAAAAGAAAAAGAAAACACCTGGAAGGGAATACTTCAAAATGCTTATAGTGGCAAACTCAGATTAATAGGATTATGACTGATTTTTATTTTCTTCGCTAAATTTTTTCATGTTTTCTAAGTTTCTAATTTTATGATCAGAAAAAAAAGTAGTTTTTAAAAAAACCCAAATGAGGGCTGGCCCGGTGGCGCACTGCTATAGTGTGCCGCTTGGGAGCGCGGTGGCGCTCCCGCCGAGGGTTCGGATCCCACATACAGACCAGTTCCCGCTCACTGGCTGAGCGAGGTGTGGGAGCAACACCGAGGGTTGCGATCCCGTTGCCGGTCCCGGTCTGGTACGGGCGCGACACTGATGGTTGCGATCCGTTGCCGGACACGAAAAAAGACAAAAAGGGGAAAAAAAGTAAATAAATAAAAAATAAAAAAACCCAAATGAGACAGGAGGATCTTTGACAAA